TCTCGACGAACGGTAAACATACAAACGAACACCATTTTATTCGACGATCGAAAGTGGAAATAAGAACGATCGCTATGTGGTGATACCACTGCTGTGTTGTGATTTGACAACTGATTGTCTAACTGTGGTTTGCCTTGTCTTTCTTTCATAGATCTGACGATAGTTTAGCCGTGACAGTATATAACCATCTGAATGTCCGTAATTAGTTATTAAGATCGAATTATGTTATCCGGAAAGGAAGATTATTTGTTTTGTCGAGGCCGCCGTTCAATCTAATTGATAGCGTCTTTTGAGGTTTTGAAAAAAGGATCCTTCATGATATTTTTCATCGAATGAGCGACTCTTCAAGCTCCGATCCCTTTTGTGCGCTCATTTAAAAACGTTCCCGTAAAAAGTCATACATACTAAGAAATTAACGTAATTGAACAACTAGTTGTTCTAATACGTTCGCTTGAGTTGTGTTCTGTTATTGACTATGAAGAGTGAAACGGAATTCACTGATTTGTTATCTTTTCTGAGAGAAAGATGTTTGCTTGAATTGTGTGATGAATTCAGTCTTAAGAAGATGTAATTAAAGCGTTCACCTCATTAGAAGTGACTGTTTGAGTAAAGTTCATCCGAATGCATTCAGAGCAAAGTGGCCATTGAAAATTGATTTATTTTTGCCTTAGCGTCATAATTCACCTAATTTATCAATGGAAAAAGCATTTAAGAAACTTTCTCCACCTATTCAATTTTTTCAACCAAATTTTCGTCCAGACGCATAAGTGTATACCGAACTAATGAGCTTCTAGCTTGCACAGTCTCATCTCACTTGATTGGTGTTGGACGTGCCAGGGAAACTTTNTTTAAAATAATACCCCACCATCGCAATGCGCCATTTTCGAATTTTTAGTGTTTCACAGTCATTAAAAAGTAATAATAAGAAAAGAATGATTGGTGACAAAATTTGTTGTTAATTTTGCTGTGCAGACGTAATATTATAATGAGTCATCATTTAACTAAAAGTTACACTTTATCAATATTTTAATCAAAAGTTATATTTTACCATAACTCACATTCAAATTGCGATGAGTTGTGCATTGCTGTTGAAAGAAAAATTTTGTTTGTGCTGAATTGATGAATGAATAATAAAGATAAGAATCGATCAGTATAGTTTTTAAATAGTCATTCATCTGTCAAGGACGATAAGTGAGTGCGATTTGAGTGGCATCGAGAGAATAAGATTAAGAAATCATTGCGAACGTTTCTTATTGTTATTTCTGAATGAACGTTTACAAATTATTATGAATTATTTTTTGCATTTCTCATTCAACCTGTTAAAGTTGAACTAACGATCATCGTTCGCAAAAATTTTCCTCTCCTTCGATCTTTTTCCAGCAAAAAATGTTTATATTGATTCACCTCCAAAAGTGATGTTGCCCTGTAATTTGCAGTCTTCTCGAATATCACCCTGACAAACGAATGCCAATATCCGCTAGACCAGACACGTCTTTTTGTGATGATGAATGGTTCGATGTTCATCATCCTGTGGAAAAACATCCAAGAAATGCTCAAATCGCATTTGCAATACATAATGATGTGACCGGTAATGAGCACTGACTAGTGCATAATTTGACAAGTGATCAAATAAACGTGTAAACGTAACGACAAGCATACTTTTAATGTTACCGAATCGAATTTGGCGGTTTAACTCAACTATTGCCTCATAATCGCGATGACACATGATGTGTGGATGGCATGCATGCAAATGAATTGTTACTGCTTATCGCGTTTCAGAGAGATACTCAAAATATTTGTTTAATTGAGGTTTTCGGATAATCACTCGTTCAATATAAGTTTCCCGTCATTGTCTCTATCTCCGATTTGATCAAATTTTCGAAAAAGCTTTAGAAGAAGATTCTCATCAGAATTCTTCAAATCTAAACTTTGACAACTGAAAGAGGTGTAAAAGGGTTGATGAGTGGTTTAGAGGTCTGTTGAAACGACCTCCACAGTGAAATGTGATAATATTTTGGGTCACAGATAAAGCAGTGCTCTTACGTAATTCTCTCACTGATGGTGTTATGAGTAATCGTAAAACAATTTATCCAATTAATCGTAAATCTCGTTGGTCTTCTTTGAGCTCCAAATTTACAATCGCTTCAGTAGCGTTCTTATTAATGAGCCGTATTGATAGCGTCTTATAGATCAAATAGAGATTTTAACGAGATTGATATCATTTTCCTACCATTTTCTAAGATCTTGCAAATGGCCCATCGATACACAGATCTTAGTATGTTAGTACTGAAGGCAAATCGCAAATTTTGTTAAATTGCGGGTGAAGCATTCGCTCACAAATACGTCTTTGAAGTTTCTAGCTAGACTTATGGAACGAGTGCAACATTCGAGGACTTCTCATTTCAGCATGATAAAATTCAGCTCTTCTCACATATTTCATGATGTGAATTACTATTTACTACGAAATTCATAGTATATAAGTGGCACAGTTCATGAATATATTAAAACTGCATACATCGTCTTCCTTCCATGCAGTTGATTTGATCGAATGTCAAAACCGATGAATAGCAGTTTGTGCATTCCAATAAATATCTTTGCTATCGGAGACTCTCTTCAACCCTGCAAGATATTCGGAACTGTTTTTAGGTTGCATCATTGTTAGCGCATAAATCAATGCGTATAAGCGATCGTTCCGTCTTATTTGATGTTTAGAATTTCAATTTCTTTGAATTATGAAATCGTACCTCCTTTCCGATACCTCCTCAGTTGCATCGATCACATTCGTTTCGTATCATTTTTATACCTAAGCAAACATGGCATGAATAGAAGAGCTGTCCGCTTTGCGCCATCACAAAATTTTATGCAATCAAAAAGATGACACTCGCAGTTAAAAGTAGAACTTTTTTGTGAATGTTGTATTATTCGCGATCAACACTCTTCAGTTTATGTCAACATTGGATTAGTTTATAGTTCAACAGGGAACTGTCGCAGGTCTTACTTCTAGCAGCACTGCTCAGGCTTTCGTTTATTTGTCAATTTGATTACAACGAAAAACATCGACGCAAAAGTACAGAAATCGCAAAAAGTGTTCGTCATTCACCGTTGTTTTACAACAAAAAATGATTTGATTCGCTTCGAACATGTGCCATCGGTCGCCGATGTGAGATCGATTTCTTGTCGCCACAACGTCTCGCCTAAAAGTCTTAAATGATTGATTCATAAATTGATCGCAGTTGGCTTCATGTTCGTTTTTTGTGCATTTAGTGGCAATGTTTCGTTTGTATGCATACAAACAAACTTCTTTGTTAGGAGAGCACTGGCTAACACTTACTGAAACTATCGCTTTGACAACACAATTTCACTGTTCTGCTAGCAGTGATTGATGAGGCTATGCGAATTCTATGTAAAGCATCACACGTTTTCCACTGAAAGCTGTTTTACAAATTTTACCAAAACAATTATGTTCCTGAATAACACCATTAAGTAATAATATTCGCCAATAAAAATAGCATGTAATTTCCAATAATACCAATGATATCATTCGCTAATACCAATAACAAATCATAACATCAAGATCTGATTTGCAATCAACCAATTATATCTTGAAATTAACTAATTCCGCTGAAAAATAATCACCCTATCCGACATCAGTGAAAGCTTAGTCTAGTGTCTAACGACTGCGGCTCACATCAAAAGTCCCTTGTGAAACAATAAAAGCAAAACCATTTGGAAGAAAATGACCGTGAAATCGCAAACAGTCGCGAATTATGCAAATGCTCGCGTTTAATCTCGAACTTGAGCAGATTCTAATCATGATCAATCGCCACTTAATGTGTTCTTCTCTCATTCGCCACAAAATCCACTCAAATCTGTGCCAAAGTCCTTATGCTATGCCTAATTCTGCGTTTCCTTCTAAAAATCGCTTAATTCTGCGTTTTTCTAAATCGCGATGTGAATTTTCCTTTGCAACTTCAATAACAACTGTGAAGTTGCCAACGAAGGGTCAGTTCTGCGATACCAATAAATCAAAAGTGACTTAATGTAGGTATCTATATGAAAAACATGCGTTTTATGAAGGTAAATGTAACTCGGCACACGCAATCTACTCAAATATTCATTAGCTGTTTGGAATGCTGTCCAACTGAGTGACTATCAAATTCATACGAACTGAATAGCAATTGTAATCAATCAAACTGCATGTATACTTCCTCAGTTTCCAATTCAAATCCTGAGATTGTGTTATCTGAGAGCACAATTTCATATAATTCGTCGAGATACCTCGTACATGAGCAATAATTCGATTGTTATCGTATCAGCAAGAATAGATTCATCATTCAGCTTCATTGAGCTTTTGTTTCGTTTCTTTTTTGCTTTATTTCCAGCTTCTGCTTGCATCTGCAAGCGATTATCAAGGAAGTACGGATATGAACGGGCGATGAATCACCGCTGTTGTTTCCTTATTTTAAAGTGATTGCTGTTATATTTTCGGACGCACCCCATTTGTTTATTCTTTGATGGAGTACATTCGATTTACATTAGGCGTTTCGACGTGTGTTTTTTATTAGTGAATGTTTGCGTTCGTTGTTACTGTCAATATTTATGTGCAGGAACGTGCAACTGATAGACTGCAAAATTTGGTTACTGCTTTGTACGTGAGACGAGAAACAACGGCAGTTCTAATGGGCATTTAACGTGAACTTCACGTCAAACCGTTGAGTGATCAAGCTTCACACGAGTACTTATTTAACCCACCTTCGAAGAGCAATCCTCTTGTCACGCCCATCAATCAAACTGCCTTCTGTGCGCGCCAATCAAACAACACGTTTGGTGCTAATCACGGGGTTCGTTCATCACTAGTTCCCGCCCCAATACCAAAATTCATCCATCCACACATCTGTGCCTAACCCAAACCCAAACTACTCCCCGTTCCAACTACCTCCTTTCGGAATTCGTTCTCCTCACACATCATTATCACTTACATTTGATTTGATAACGCAACAATGCGTTTTCTCTTCACGATCACTTTCTATTGGATCACAATATCGACAGTTTTCTCGTTGGGAGTTCAAGGCAATCCCAAATATCAACGCTTCTTCGTTAATACAAAGTTAGTTCCTTCATTCCCTTAACCTGTCTTTCGCTGTTTCTCAATTTTCGAATAATGCAATCAAAATCATCAGCAGGCCGTTCGATCAAAAACAGTAACTAGTTGCAACGCTCTGCGACATCACTACACTAATCACTGCTGCGATCACCGCTATAAACTGCTTTTTTTTCGAAACTGATTCTGGAAAAAATTGTGTGAAAAAACATCGGACTCGGTTCACTAATCTCGTTTAATCGTGTGGTTTCAAACAATCATAAAGTCAAGAACTCATTCTGATTGCCCATTTCGGAGTACCTGAAAGCAGGATCTAAAACAGTGTAAAATCGGTGCAGGATATTCTATACGATGTTTTCGGTGTGCTGAAAAAATTTGTCGCAAGGAATTACTTCCTTCTTAATTCAGTTGAACTATAATAATAGTAAACAACGATGCAGATTCACGTCGTTTTTATTAAGCGTACCGCTATTTCCACCCGAACTCATTATTCATTTCAGTGGCTTATTGCTATAAAATGCTAATTTCTCTTTCCAAAAGTGATTTTGAATGTCGGCGCACTAAAATACCAATTAAAAACGTCGTTTGTCGTTGTTTTATGTGCATCTTCACATATGCTTATTACGATCTCAGCTAAGTGTTCCCATGTGTATCGTTCGGTTGAAGTGCTCCAAAAATATTCCATTCTCTCATCTCGGCGTTGCATGCAATCTTGAAATACAATAGGAAACGAATGAAAATGAACTTACATCAAGTTCAGCGAGTGCTTTAAAACGCTGAAATACCTTCAAGTCTCGCAATTAACTTGAAATATTCCCATTCTCACCTCTGATTAATCACTGCCGCATTTACATTTTGATTTGTTTATGTCGCCTAACAAATCCCATCTAAAATCACTCGTTAATCACAACCTCAAACACTTCATCACATTGCATAGTGATTCCTTGCAAAAAGCACCATAAATTGTTATTACGATTGGTATTGCTGATGTTTATATGTATCAAATACAGTACCACTACCTCATTTTACAGAGGTCATCTTTTGACGTGTGAACTCGTGAATTGTGTATGAACGAAGAAGACACAATAGAGTGGCAAGTAAGCCAGCTGAACGTACGCATTGAAATTAGTCTCAATCAGAGTGCGAAATATTGTATGGAGTATGTAAATTTGTAACTGGCAAATTTGATAACAATGAATGAACGTACTGACTATGTGTGTGTGTGTGTGTGGGTGATGAGAGATTATGCTCGTTAAAGGGATATTAAAATTGAATTATAATGCGTTTCACTTATAGGGCGATTAACTTTGTTGATGCTACGAAGCATGGCTTTCGAATCGTTTTATTGGATTCATTTCTTGACTCGTATCTAGCACCCATACAAATACCAACACTCTTCATCACTGCCGTTCCGTTGAAGTCCGACGAGAAAGCCGTTACGAAAGTCTTATATCCGGACAACATCCGAGAAGACAAACAGGTATACATGCGTTCCTCTATCTAGCAGTGTGACAGAAAACGGAAATTCATTTACATTTCTAATGCATTTTCAAGTTGATAGCAAAATATTTACAAACAGAGCAGCAATTAACCTTGCAAAAATTCTCTGAATAATTCGCTTGGAACTGAAAACAAATCGTAATCCCATAGTCAGATTAAAATTGCCAATAGATAAATATATTATTGTAGTGTTCATGCCGTGAAGCTGTTTCGTTTCATTTTCTCCTAATTTCCAATGAAGAATAAAGCATTGAAATATGACTGGTTTATTATAAGTCACGTTATTTGTGTCTTAAACAGATTAACAATGTAGCATTGGAATAACTTTGAGATTAGCAACAAATGTTGTGCGTTTGAAGTCACAACTGATTCTTGTCGTTAGCAATGCCACATGTTGACGATGAACATAATGCACTTGAAATCGCTTTAAACAAATCATTTCCACCCATAAACATCATGTTTTGAAATGACTTTGAAAATTGCCGAAAAAAAGCCATAACTTTACATGTTCTGCGAAAGATTGTATGAAGTTTATATCAAGCTGCTGTTGTTTCAAAAGCACATTTCAAATTGAGAATGACCGCAGTAGTGAATGAATTGCAAAGAGTGTTGGTTTCTTGAAGGTTAGTGTCACTGATCTACGCGAGCGATCGTGGTACTTTATCTGTATCGAATGGGAGAATTTCAACCGTCACAATGAGTCGACTGGAACTGATTGTCGAACACTGCGAACGTTGGATCGATTCGGTAAAAGTGCTGAAAGTAGTGTGACGGATGTGGAAATTAATGATATATCATCAACTGCGATGCATTTCAGAATACGTTCCATCGTTGACTTCCCAATGCGGTTCGTTCCTTAATTGTCATTTGTTTTATGGCTTCATTAATTTCGCATTCCGGCATATACACGACAACCGCATACGACCATCAATTATGTTTGCTAATTCTGAAGTATCCACTCATATTTATCCATTTCTTCGGATTTTCACTCATCGTTTCATCCCTAATTTGATTCGTGCGGTTTGTGCGCTGAACTTCTGACATTAACAGCGAAGATAACTCGAATAAATCTTTTGAGATGGTTTTAGTTGCGAGTAGAAGAACGGTTATTTTTGCTGTTAAGAGCATCAACATGTTGTTATGTGATGATATGTACTGCCGATGTCCATTTGGATGGAAAATTACAGGTTAACGGCATCATTAGAAGGCGGAACGGCCCCGCTGCCGCCATCTCAAACATTCGTATTCCATGAATCGACTGATTTGGATGTTTTGTTTACGTATTTGAAAGAGGATACAGAATACGGTAAACTTTGTATTCTGGAAGAACCTTTGATTACTGGTTACACAACAATGGGACGGATGATTGCCGACATGTACATCCAAAAGTGCTATTTTGGTAAGGGTTCATTTGGGAACGCTTTACTCGCCTTTTATTGCCTTTTGTTGCGAGTTTTTGCAGGGCAAACACGGAAATAAGACACATCAACGTCAATCTTACGATTTCGTTTTTCGACCACATACAGAACAAATGAGTGATCTCATCGCGTACTGTTTTCATAAGCTGGTCAATTGTTTTAACAAGAATGAGTTCTTTAAACCAGCACTTCCATGCATAACAGAATTTAATGCGTTCCATGATCAACTTCCATTAGTTTCATGATTTGCTTTGCGAGGTAGCAAAGAAACCATTACCACTTATTTCTCATATCAACTTATTCAAAACAATACTTTCAGGTAAATTAAAGACAAAAGATTATGAACTATCAACGTACGACACAGAGGCAAGTCCGTTTAAACGTGCCGCTTCAGCGACTTCATTAAGACTTAATGAGAGTATATTTTTAGCCTTATTGACATGGATTTTATTGTATATTGTGAATAGGTAACAAATTTTTCTATTCATGGATCACTTTTGATGTGGAATATATGTAACGTTAAGGATTTGTGAGCCAAATGTATTGTTTCGTATTGACTCATTCAATATGGAGAGCGTTATTCAAATGGATTATTCATCATGTTTCCATATGTTCGAAAAATTGGGAATGAGCAGACTGTTTGCAGAGATAAAAGGCTTAGAGATGCATTAGTCATGAGCTCATTAACTGCTGATCTGTCGATATCATTTGATATCTGAGAGGAACAGTGACACTTTGGGATGAATCAGTCCCTTCAAAGATACATTAACTAGTCTCGTCTGGTTCTAAATTATGAAATCCAAAGGATTTGCCTAACCGTTCCCAATTGATAATCACATTTCATTGCGATGTAATTTGAGAGAAAATGTTCAAATATACACAAAATCTCATTTGCTAAAGAGGTCGGAATTGAAATCTTGCAAGGATATCTATTCAACTATTTCGAAATCTAGTCCCTGTGTATTCGCTGGACATTTTGGTCCGACTGATGTTCATAAAAAAAGACATGCAGAGATTTTTCTCCAAAGAACTCAAACATTTTTTTTCTTCCAAATCGTCTATTGTGGGTAAAAATTGACGACTGCTTCGCATGAAGGGAGAGAAACAAGAAAGATTTGACTCATTTGTCGGTTGTATGAAGAATTATGTTCGCTTCTATTATGCATCATGCATGATTATGAGTTTAGAAATTTCGTTTGTGAATGTAATCAAATATTTGTTTTTTTTCATTTAAATCTGTACCCATTCCTAGTCATTAACGTGTAATCGGCAACAAATTCAAATCGCGATTTGTGAGAATCTTAGAAAAGAAATATCCATTAATTAGTGTACTAATGAAGCATTATGCATCAGGATGCCGTATTTCTCTCACTATCACATCTTTAATGTTTTTTTTATCAAATTATTCTGCTTAAAAACCACTTCGATTCTGTTTTTCCACTTAAGTCACTTAAATTCATCCAGTTTTAACTTGTTAATCGAAACGTTTATTTCGAGTCGCTCTTTAACGTAAATGTTCAATTTAAGTACATGATTGCTTCTTTTTTCATGAGATCCTCATTCCACTTCAGTATATTTGTATGCGAGTTTTTCTATCCACTCCAAAATTCATAAACCATTATCAATCACCCAGCGAGGAATATCTAAGGGATTTTAAAGCGATTAGAGTGTGGAAAGGAGTAGAAACAAGTCAAAATATTTCGCATCAGTGCAGTAAAATAGATCATTAATAATCTAATCACATCAGACCTTCAACAACAAATCGTGATGTGAAGTGCTGTGCAGATTCTACACTTAAGCATTTTCGAAGGAAGCATTGAATTAAACGACGAAAATGTGGTTTTTATGGCACCGATGTTCATGCTTTTACACTCCATAATTTACTATTTTGTTTCAAATCCAAACTGGTGTTAAGTTCACTTAATTAATTTTATATTAATAATTTAAATTATTAATATATAATTGATTAACTTATCGATAATACAAATCGACAAGCAACGAAAGCCTCTTATCGAATTGCTTTCAATTCACCAACATTTGTAAAATGCCTCTGAAGAGAATCGTGTTTTGTATAAACTGTAATTGATGAGTGACGCATTATATTGTTTTATTCTGTATAAATCGCTAAATGATTGATTGTTATCGTTGATTACCACGACTTGTACAGATAATTGTTTATCAACAGTTATTTTGTGTTATAAATTATTCTTTTGCTCTTCTGATGCTGCATTGTGAACGCACCTCAACGACGGTTATTGAATGCACACGATATGATTCAACTGTAAATCTCTTCTGAAAAAGCACATTTCATGATCACTTCTGACTGAGACAAAAAATACCAAATGAAAATTTCCGAATTGATGCAGTGATAGAAGCAAAGAGAAGTTTTTCACTTGCATTCGATTGATAATTTTTCAAATGAAATTGCATTCGCGATCAGAATAGAGTTGATGAGATCGGTTCAGTTGTGTTGGTGAACAATAAATGAGGTTACGATGTTTTAGTCATACTGTATGCGATGTGTTTATGATGAAAGCTGATCATAAAATCATAATGCGTTTAATGGTGAGAGGAAAAGCGATCTGATAAGTGAGCCATTACGTAGATTCATTCGGGTGTTCGTTTAACGATTCGTTATGCGCTTTATATGAAACATTCAACGGCCAATGCACCTAACGACGTCGATTTGTGTCAAAAGTTGAATGAAACGTGTGAAGTGGGTACTTCAAAGTGTTAGGGACAGCTATAAAACATCGAAATGACAACATAAACACTTGTCAAGGTGAGCAGTTATTCATCAATGTTGCGTTTCTTTCATTTTGAAGATTAGTAGCGTCAGCATTATTATCATTATTATTATTATTATTGGTATTATTATTAGTGTTATCGTTATTTGTTTGCACAACATCAGACACACTATTACTTGCATTAATGATTCGTGCAAATCATGCAATTCTCTTTGCTCGAGTTTTAATCAAAAACAGCAAATGAATATGGACCAGTGATGTGCAGAGTTGTTCAATCTAGTCACGGCTCTATTTTCATATCACATATGAAAAACGTTGGCTTGCATCAAGCTTTCCCAATTTGCTTTAGTCTCAAGTAGAACGTTTCGTGCTTAGAAGTGGACAAAGGCATGAATAATGGAAGAGAGAAGCGAGGGAATTGCCAATTAGATTGCCAAATGACAGACTTAACTACATAGACATATCAATGGACGGAAGAATGGCTTTCTGAGTGACAACGGGTCTTGATGCGTTTGATGAGTCAGATAGCTAAATAGATATTCTAACGGCTTAGCGGTCACTATTTCTTCGAGATGGTCATTTCAAAATATGATAAAAATGACCTCGACATGTTGATCAAGCGGCCACGGCGAGCCTAATATACTCTTTCACCATTAATACTCCCCTCCTCAGGCGGCATTACTTAATGTTGCTCAATGCAGATCACGATAAGGGATCTTAAACTTCCCAGAAAGGTTTCCTATTTTGGCATGTAGAGTCAGGATTTCTTCTGTCTACTCGATGATATGTCGACTGATAAGTTGTTTAATAGAATTTATCCGCAGAGAAGTGGGTGTTTTACAGTGAGGCAAAATCTTGTTTCTCACACGTTACGATAACATTACATGTGGTGAAGGTTGGTATACGGTCTAATGATATGCATAAAACATAAAATAAGCAATCAAAAGATCTGAGAATATGACAATCAAAATCGGATAATACCACCGGAGTACTCTCAACATAAGTGTGCGTAGTACCCGTAAACTCATCCAGATGCGCACAACAACATGCCTCTTTAATTTCATTTCCCATCATCTTCACGAATCATTCTGAACTCGTTGAAAGTATAAATCCGAATGAGTAGCCTCCAATATGGATGAACCGTGGAATGATACCGAATGGGCTTCGAATCGATGATGAAAATAGCAGCAAAATAGATCCTTCACAAATTTTCAATTCTGGTTTGATACACGAATTAAAACGGAATTTTGTGGAAGAGTATTAC